GCAAGTATACACATGCCGTTATTACAATCTCTGCTTTGTTTGGTTCAAGCAACATTGGTTTTCGAAGCACTCTAAATACTGCTGATAAAATGCCAAAAACATTTTCCACAACTCTTCGGGCTCGAGACAATCGATAGTTAAATGTTCTTTTGGTTGATCCTTTTTCATGAGTTCCGCGATAGGGTTTGAGTATATTTTCCATTAAGGGAAAAGCTTCGTCAGCTACAAATACATATGGTACTGTTTTTTTTCTTCCATTTAAACTGTTTGCTGGTGGAAGTCCCAATTCATTTCTTTCGAGTTTTTTAAAAAACGACGTATTCCGAAGAACTCCAGAATCTGAAATTCTGCCTTGGCAACCGATATTTGCGTACAAAAAATTATAATCAGCATCAACTATTGCCATAAGAACAATACTAAACGTTGACTTATAATTAATGTAATCACTACCACTTCCAATGGGTGCTTGCAATTGCACATGTTTTCCATCAATTGCACCAAGGCAATGAGGAAAGTTCCAAGTTGTTTCGTATTTTCTAGCAACATTTAACCAATCTTCTTGAGTTGTTGGTATCTAAAATAGTTTAAAATAAATAAATAAAATTTATAACTATACTTAAACATAAGTATTTGTCATAAAATATTGTTAAAAATTATTAATATAATATAACAAAATTTATAAAATGAAAAGTATTAATATATACTACCATTATTATAGGTACTTTATAGTTTATACTATGCATTAACAACAATATTTAAATAGGATTTTACTTAAAAATTATACATAAATACATATTAAAATAAGTATATTATATTATATATTGTTTAATGTAGGTACCTACATACTGACCATACTGTAGTATTAGGCAATAATATGTTTAATAATTAATTTGTATTCTAAGCCGGTCATTTTTCTCTAACAATAACTAATGTATGTTTATGTAACCTAGTACATTTCAAATCAATTAAGCAATGTCAATATCATAAGAAATATAAATAATATATTTTTTAGTTTAATACAGGGGTCGGCCGTCGGCAACCTGCGGCTCGCGAGCCACATGTGGCTCTTTTGATCTTAAGTTGCGGCTCTCCAGTTCCACACCCAAAAATTTAACAAAACTTTAAAAATACATGCAAAGCCAATGCTCATATTGATGTAACTCTCTATTATTTAATAACTGTATTATTTTATTATTATGGTTATTAAAATTAAAAATTAAATAATATTTAAAAAATTACGACAATTTTTAGTGGCTCTTTAAAGTTTTGAAAATTTTGTATATTGTAACTTTTGGCTCTTCCAACTAAAAAGGTTGCCGACCCCTGACTAGACTCTAGTAAGTAGTTTTAAGTAGAACAAATTGTTTATGTTAAGTAGGAAAATTATGTATAAAAAGAAGAGCTAAGGTAAATAACAAGGGCTCTTCTGCGGTCGTCGTGTGGATCGACGACTGTAGGAAGAGATTCATATTAATTCAAGTATTAACTTATTTTGTGTTTTTGTGTCTGTACATTAGATTTGATCGGCGTATACTACAACACTATACATTAGGTGTTTATATTTTTAAACATAAAAAAAATTTAGTGTATTTAAAAAGTTAATATAAATTTTTGAAGTAATTAATTAATTATTTTTATAAATATTTTACTTACAGCCAGATAATAGTCAATTATTAGAAGATTCTATTATAAATGTCAATGAAAATATTATAGACGAATTGTTGGGGGAAACATCAAGGGAAGCAGAACAACCTCGAGAGCAAAGAAAACCATTTGTTTCTCCCAAAAAACTACCAAACAAACGTAAAAAAACAACTGACAGTGATAAAGTTATTCAAAATTTACAAAATATTATGCAAGATATTTCTGATAAAAGGCAAGCAAAAAAACAAAAAAATGATTCTACCATATTTGGAGAATTTATTACTAGCAAATTAGAGCAGTTCGATGATCGAACGAAAACAATATTACAACATCAAATAAGTTCTTTAATATTCAACGCTGAATTAAGCTTCAAATTCCAACACCAAACTAATCAGTCTCAAGATACTTCAACATCACAAATTGCTGCATCTTTGCCAGATTTTCAGTCGATTTATTCTATACCACCACAGTCAATAAGAACATACGATACTTCAACATCTTCGCCTTCTATGCAGTTACCGTATTCTACCTTAACACCTTCAACAGCTCACCATTCTACATTTTCAACTCAACCACAGTCACCGGACACATACTTTTCGTCATCGTCTTCGCCATCTCTTCATTCTATGTCCTCTGTTCCGCCTCAGTCGCCACAGTCACAGTATATTCCTAACAACTTTTCTGATTTGTAATTACAAAATGTTTATAATTAAAATTTATTTATTATTAATATGTATATTTTAATAACAATAATTTTAAAGAATAAAATTAATTTGGTTACTTCATAATACAATATCATACTTTATTAACTGTATGTCATGTACTCATATATAAATATCATATACCTACTAGATTATCTGCTTATATACCTACTTATAAGCTAGACATATATAACAAACAATATTTACCTTTATATAATCTTGTAGTTCTTCAATTATTGCAGTGCATACTTCCGGAATTATAGACGAAATGGATGATTTTGATACTTTAAAGAGTAATGATAAGCTTGCAAAAGAATCACCCGTGGCTAAGTATCTGAGAGTTAAAGCTAGTCTTTCATTTGCTGGTATAGATAACCTAAACTGTGTATCTTCTTTTCTGATTTTGGGTTCAATTAAATTGAGTAAATTTCTGAACGTTTCAGGAGTCATTCTACAGCAGTTCTTGAAATGGTCTCCGTCTTCATTTTTTAAGTCATTAAGTAACATACTACCACTATATAATTCTCTGTTCCGATACAGCGATCGCATCCACCAACGACGTTTTTTTTTCTTTGTTTTTTTTTTACCAATAATTTCGTAGTAATAGCACATGCACAAGCTAGTAATAAATCTTCGGCATCTTCACTTGAAGACATTTTTATTAACAAATATAAACAAAATAATTAAAAAAACAACAAATTTAAATAGAATTTACACGTGTTTACTGGATAGTAGTGTGCCCACAACTGAATATTTTAAACCATATTAAACCATATTTTGTTTTCAAAGCGAATGCTTATGAACAAGCCCGAACAACCGCGAATAGTACTGAACACAGTAAACGGCCGAATCATCAACGAATTCGCGTACGAATGTATTCGGTATATGGAAGTGGTTCTATTGGGTAAACATTCTGTATTTTGTAACAATCAATAAAATAAAATACGTCATGTAATATTAATTTATAAATGGTACATACACATCAATATGCATCTAAATACGTATTTTCTATCTTTCTGTATTTTTCTATATAAAATCATAATAGATAAATTACTTTAGGATTAAAATACAAAGAAACAGTATATATAAAAAAAAAAAAAAAATGATAATTCCTCGAATTTCCATTATTATTTTAGAAATTATATGCTTCAATGGTTTTACGATTCATTTATTGCATTGAAGTAGGCAATTCTGAATAGCCGCAGGGATTGATGCGATAGTATATTTTATAATAAAAACAATTTCGATCAAAACCTGAAGTATTTTCCATGGATAATATCTACATATATATATATATTAATGAATTTTCATATTTGCAATTTTTATAAATGTATAACTACAACTTTTGTTGTACATAATATATCATGCCAACTGATAATCGATTTTATCATGCGTTGATAATTATTCAATTAATATGATTATAATTTATAACTCACCAATAGGAAAAATAACAAAAACGGCAGTCCTTTAAAATGTAAATATATTCAATTTTTCAAAGTTCAGTTCGTCGATAATTGTAACTAAATAATAATGTTACATTGATTATATAAGATAAAAATGTTATAGAATCAATTAAATAAAAAATATTGGAAACGGAAATGTAAATAATATATTTTCGTAAATATCATAAGTTCTGGTTTTTTGAACAATAGTGGTAATGCCAAATATAAATAGATTTTTGTTAGAATCATTTATGATATTTTGAAATTGCTCAATATTATTAGTGCATTAAATCGTATTTTTTAAATACATTTTTCCTGTTTTTAAGGTACTAAAATTTATGTTCAAATTATAAATGTATTTATTCTTTAACTTATTTAAACATTTTATTTTTAATATGCAATCGAATATATTAGGTATATCGTCAATAATTATTTGACTATAATGGATATGGATAAGCTATAATTACATATATATATTATATACATTTGAAAATTAATTAAATCTATATATTATACTACATATTAAGGTAATGTTCCACTAATTCACTTAAAATATCTATGAAAGCACTTTAAGTAAATATAATTCTTTGAAATACGATATAATAGACCATGTTAATACAGTTTAAAATAATAATAACAATACGGCCTTATGTTATGTTAAACTAAGACATTGTTGTTTTAAAGAGTCGAATTTTATTTAAAAAAAATACTGCTTGTCATTAAATTTTCAAAAATTTAAATACTGTTGAATAATATTACTGTCTATTGCATATTTAATTTTGTTTTATAAATATATTATGATATTTAAACGTCGTCATTGCATTATGTAGTATTATACATTTTGTAATGTATTTTTTTATTAAGACAATAATAATAATTATGTGTTTTGTGTGCAAAAAATAATATTCAACGTGTAAGAAGTATGTCTTAGTTTCAAACTGTTGTTGAAATACAACGTATAATTATCAATAAAAAGTATTTTATACGTTCTTTAACAATATTTCATTCGCATAAGTGACACATTTCAATATATCTATAAATAAATGTATTAGTGATAGTTCTATTTGAACTTAGTGTAGGGATCTACCTCTCATATTATATATAATATATAAATATACAAATTTCAAAGTTATTGATTAAGCCAATGATGATTAATTTCCTTCGTGTATAATTCGTTCAATTGTATCGCAATAGTAATAAATATTTTACTTACTTGTTGTGTTTTCACTATGCCGGAGATTGTTCTTTCTGAAATAACTGACGTACTACCTCGTTGCTCTTTCAATAAGACCATCAGGGATGATATATCCAACATACGAGTGGAATTTGTTGATTGACTAACGTTAAAGCGTTGATTTTTTTTTAATAGATACCATTCGATTGTAGCTAATGGTCGAGATCCTTTTGACCGACACTCAGCTTGATACACCCGGTCGGCTCTTATTGTATATTTCTTGTGACCAGTTGTATCTTCTGACGGGGAAACATCATTTTTTTCAGTCACATGGCTTTCATTACTTTTCAAATGATTTGCGTATCCTTTAATTGAAACAATTTGTACTTCAGTAGGTATCACTGTAAAAAAAATAAAAAAAAAAATAGATTAGGTATAATATTAGTAATCAAACAATGTTAATAATATAAAAAGAATTGTTTCAATTTATACACCCAAATATTAAATGTATATGAGACAATATTATTACTTTGCATTAATTTCATTAAATATGTACCAAAAAATTACAAAAAATCAAAAAAAAAAAAAACCAATCTTTACAACAAGATTACAATTTACAACAGATCAACAGTTTTCAAATTGTGGTAGTACGCGGAAAACCGCATAATGGTAATGGTAGAACGGAAAATTAAAAAATAAACATTTTTACTAGTGTTTGAAATGGTTATTATAATATTATTTATAAAAAAATTATAATTATTTAATAGATATTTCATCGTTAATATCAAACTTACAGATCTATGGTTTTCATTGAAAAAAAAAAATTATTATTATATTTATACATATAATATTTTTAAAAAAAAGCTAATAAATCTTCTTTATTAATAAATAAATAATAATAATATTATATTTTTTTACTTTCTTATTATTTAAAATAAATATATTTAGCTATTTAAAATTTAGATCGTTCTATTTTTAATCATTAGGGGTACGCGACTGATTAATAATATACTTTAGTAGTACGCGAGAATAAAGTTTGAAAATCATTGCAATATATCAATTTATTTTGATTTAAGTGTCGTATACATAAATTAGTAATAGTAGTATTGAACATAATATGGCGGTGAATACTATGAAATCATTATTAAATATATAAATATCTACTTTGAATTCAAAATGATCATTATTATATTTTAAATTGAAATATTTCTACGTGGAGTATTTCATTTTTTTTTTTACAGAGGATGTCATTTTAAGGAATTAAGAAAATATGAAATTCAAAAAATCAGTTTTAATTAATTTTTAATTCTTAAAGGATAGTATTTTATTAATTTAAGATAAAGGTATATCCAAAAAAGATAGATTTATAAACTGAATAATACCACAATGAATGTTATCAATATTTTCTAACGCTTCACGCTGTGTGCCGTTAATGATTACTATAAGTTATGAATCACGGTTTACAAAATACCGCCCAAGTAAATTCATCTGTTAGTGTGGATGGTACGTCCACCACATAAATCGAAAATACTGTCAAAAATAATCGACATAAAATATTTTATGTGCATCATGATTTTTAATTTTTATAATACATAATACAATGAAACTAAATGAAAAATTAACTATATTATAAATTTATAAGTAATATTCCGTTTTTTTTTTAAGTTCAAGAAAATATATTTCTGAATAATATGTATGTTAATATTATAATATCGGAATGGAGACCATGCTAAGATTAGTGCACCTTTATACAGCCATTACTTTAAAAAATATTACATATATCACAAGTTATTTTCTAAAAAAAAAAAAAAAAAAAATAGAGAAGGACTCTACAACACTTCCATAACGCAATATAAATATGATTATTTCAAAATTTGTATTATTTACTAAATTATTAATTACAAGAAATAACATTTTAGTTTTATTTTTCCGTTAAAACATATTTTATTAAATTGTATGAATATTATAATAATATATGTTATGCAACGTAAATTTAGTTAAATCTATGATGCTTTAAAAAAACTGTTTAGGTACCTATTGCTGTTGCTGTACATTATTATAGCTTACTGACGTGTATAATATTAATAAAATTTATTTATAACCGATTTCTGGTCTAATTTTTGGTAATTATGACAATTTAATGATATACAAATTATAAATCAATAATTTTAATTGTAATTTGTATTTAAATACACAACTAATGTTTTTTTATTATTTATTGAATTATATGTATAAACTTTTTATAGTAGCTAAATAATATCTAGAATTTGTAATTATTAGCTATTGTTTATCGCTATATGGTTCATACTAAAACTCACATTTACAATTTTTATTAGACATTTTATATTGTACTTAGGCTGCATTTATGTTTTATTTTTGTATTAATTTAGTTAAATAAATATACTTAAAAAATTTTAAAAGCTTTTAGTAAAAACTATTATATTATGTTATTAAATGCCCAATTATTACGATTAATAAAACTAGTAACTTATTAATTGTTTTACATGTCGTATAAATTACACGGAGAGAAAAGTTAGAAAAAAAAAGTTTTTTGAAGCTTAAATGGATAATATTACTATACACTTTCATCTTTTATGATAAGATAAAAAAATTTGCTGATATATCTATATTAAAATTTTAAATTATATTATATATATATATAAACTTTTTACAAAATAGCTTAATTCCAAGGGTTCAAACTATTCTAAAATTTTTAGTTCAATATTTATATGTTTATATTAATATTTGATTTTTAAATTTATCTTTAAATAAAAACTGATTTGAAAATTTTGTGGGATACAGAAAATATATACCCAACATCAATCTTCACTCATATCATTAGACGGTAGATTCGGATTTAAGGTAAAATATTGTGCAAGTATAAATTAAAATAATATTACAGTGTTAGTGTAATATAACTTAATTTCTATAATTAATAGAAATATTTGTTAAAATACTCAAAATAATAAAACTATAAAATATAAATATGTACTTAAAAAAATATTTAAAAAAAAGTATTTCGTATTGTAATTGAAGGAATGAAAACGTATGGTATTTATTTATATTTTACACGAATAAATTGATGTTTGTACTAAAAAAAAAAAGACATCCGGACTGGTGAAAATGTGAGGTGCATCAGCAAATATAAAAGCTTACAAATGCCTCTACATGGATTCAATATTTCGTTCCTTAATATTAAACGCATAATTTAGAATTTTTATATTCATCTCGATGACTATCAATATAATAATACGATATATAATAATAATACTTATAATATTTTATGTATTATGTAGTTACTATGATCAAACTAAATATGCATGAGTTTTATTAACTCGAAATTCGAATGTATTTATTTTGGCACTTAATAATTTACATTACAAAATAATTCACGAATTTTAGATTCTGAGCAACATTGTTGTATTTATTATAAGAGGAGATGATGAGGTTGATCCCTCGTTGACCTTTTTTTTATAGATATATTATTTTACCATATATTTATTATCATAAAATGCCAGTGTTTTATTATATCTGTGAACAAAATATTATAACAAATCGACATTAAAACAAACAAACTTTCATTGACGGAAAGAAATTAAAAGTTTGTTAATTGATATATAAAAAAAAAAACTTTATAATTCGGTGTGCTTGACAATAAAATGTTATCATTTTTAAATAATTTAAAGTCAATATTATATTATTTTAATACATAATAAAAATGATCAGTCATTGAAATGTACACTCTTCTATAATGTTCCTTGTTTATATGATTTATTGGTGAGAGTACATTGGCATATAATCAATAATTATTAATGTTATATATTGCCTAATCAAATTGAATGTGCTAAAATATTCAAATTTACATTACTAAAACGGTAAACACACTTGGATAACATGTAATAAATACTGGATTCAATATGAAACTATTACTTGTATTAATTCAAATAGTATTAGAATATTATAAATTAATATAATGAGAACTAGATAATAAAACTATGAATAATAAATATTACAACGATATATTCCTAGGAATTAATGTTAATAATAAAATATACATTGTAATGTAATATAATATCACTAAAGCACAACCCGGTTGGCAAATAGGATGTGTTTTCAGATAGGTATGACGGATATTTAAGGTAACTATATTAAACTAAAAACAGTAAACAACTATCAAATATTCGAAATTTTCAAAAATGTACGGAGACAGTATGTTATAAAATGTATGTTAAAATAATTTAAATAATATTTTATTACATGAAGATTTCCATAATCAATGAAATGTGTGAATAGAAAATTATTAAAATTTAAATAGTATAGTAGAACTCGAAAAAGTTTTCAATCTAATTATTATAGTAGTACTTATCTAGTATCTTTTTTAAAATATAATAGATATTTTCCTTATTTAACAAATAAGTGGAGTAAATTATCTAAAATAACTTAAATATAAACTAACTTTTTATTAACTGTTGATCATAGACAAGGATAATACATAAAAACTCAAATTTTTTGTATAATAGATATTTGATATTATGACATAATGACGATATAATAGGTAGATCATTTACACAAATAACAATTATTTTGGTTTAATTAATTTGAATCAGTGAATGAATTAAAAATAATTTCGTAATTATGCAAAACTAAGTTACGGGATTCTATAAAAATTAAAATTTGAAAATTCAAAACATATTAATAATAAATGAGTGCTAATGACATTGTAAAGTAGAACAAACTCTTCAAAACACTTTCGATAATAGCCTATAACTATATGGCTATATTACTATCGATAATTATTCTTTATTGAGATTCATTTCTGAGATTTAGATATATATTTTGGAGATATATTAAAACTTTGTGTTAATATTATTTTTAGTGATACTTAATACAAGTTTATATTTTAGCAGAGTGCAATATTATCTACTATTTAAAAGTGATCTACAATTGAAATTAAAGATTTTTTATATTTAAGTTAACTTTATTTATTTATTAAATTGATAAATAAATAATATTTTTAATTCAAACTTTAGAGAAAAAAGAAAAAATTTATATCTGCGTTTTAAAAATGTTTTAAAAATAGGTTTAAATAGAAAATAATTGATTTTTTAAAGTGTTTTATTTCTATTAGTAATTATATTAGACTGTACAAAAAAGAAGGTCTCGAATGATAACAGACTCAGAATAATATAATAAACCATTATACATATTAAATATAAGTTTTATTTTATTTTTTATATTATATTTATGTTTTTCCTTTGTTACGAAAAATATTCAAATTTACTTGTACAATTCAAAATTATATTGTTTTAAAAGTATAACAGAGAATGTCAACATATTTGTTTTTATAAAATCTAAAACTTTTTTGCTAAGTTATAATGGAGAGGATTTTTCTTGGCGTACTGTACAACCCTGTAAATTAGCATTTTTTAATCACCAAACAATTGTTTTGTAAACTTATTCAAATTAATTTGTTCTTTAATCATATGATAACTTAATGTAGGATTCTCTTTTACTTAACGAATTTTAAAACTTTCTTCCGTATTAATTTTAGAATATTTTTGGCCATATTATACATATTTGTTAACCAAATTAACTAATTCACTTTTCTCATAATTACATTTTATTTAACTATGTATGGTTTTTAATTACTATTTGTTATAATTAAATATTAAATATTATGATTTGGTAAGAATCTACGGCATGGAGTGAAACGATAATACATTGTTCAGAAAATGTACGTTTCAGTTTAAATTAATTCAATATGACATGTTTACACGTTTACCTATATAATATGAAGATAGTCTGATAATTTAATGGTTGTCTACCTATTAAGTTGGAGAAATCGGAGAAGTAATTCTATAAGAGATAAAACTGTATGATCGTTTTAAAATGCCTTTTTATTCGTGAGCTCATGGTTTCTGTCCATCGTACCACCCCCTATTATTATGGAACTGGACGGACCGCGAATAGTGAAAAATCGAGAAAGAGATAGTGATGAAAAGTGCCTACTGACGTCGAGTCTACCACAAAATATTGTTTTCTTCGATGAAACAAATAACTTTTTTGTTTTATGACAATGATCGAAAATCCAAAATCTATCAGTTCTATGGTAGGTAGTTCAGATTACTATCCTCCAAAAGTATTACCTATCAAGCGAAACTATGGCCAAACAATTTCTGTTCAATTGTTAAATGTTATTTATTTATCAACATAGTATATAAAATGCTGTTGATGGGTGCATTGCAGATATTGTGTTCATTATTGTACAACTGTATAACGATAATGTCAGTGTTCAGAATCATATTTCTGGAGATGTCTGATATTATTATATTAATTAATACTTAATTATTTTATTTCATCACATTAAACCTTTATTAAAACATGTAAACGTTTAGTCAATAAATGCAATATCTTAACCAACTATATAAGAATATATTTGTGTCTGAAAATATAGCATGCAATAATAATTTAAACGGTAGTAGGTACCTATTTAATTTTAACGTTATAACGCAAAAAAAATATCAGCAGCTATTGAAATTATAACTAATAAAAACTGAGAAAGTATAATGGGCTTCAAATGTTTTCAAAAGATAAATGTATAGGTCTACAGGTATAGATACTGTATAATGTATTAGTATAGTACAGTGCTTCTCAAACTTTTTTGTCATGGGCCCCCCTAAATTTAATGTAAAACTGTCAAGGACCCCTTAATAAAAATCATTAATTATTTTTTCTTAATTATATACTTAAATGACATAATAACTAAATAACCGAAAATACTTAAAAAAAAATAAATAAATACTTCACGGTCCACCAGTCTTATAGACACATACTCCAGTTTGAGAAGCACTGGTGTAGTACAATACTTTCTATGCTTTAAGCAAACAGTTTCCAGATCTATATGCAATAATCCGATAACATATACGGCTACACACGACATATTCTATCATATTATAGTTATTATACCTAAGATCGGAAGACGTTGCCAAATTCGTAAGTTATAACAGGCCAGGAAAATGCAACGCGAATATAACAATATTATTATCGTTTTTACTTACGGTTCAAACGGATAAACGTGTGTTCGGTGGTGGCTGGCGGTGGCAAATTTCCATTTACAGCAATTGCCGAAGGACGGGAAATCCCATTGGACGCGGAATTTAGAATGCTATTGCTTGCCTGACACGTCAAGCGCGACGTGCCCAATGTTTGTTGTCGTTGGCTCATTATCGGATGCCACCTGGTTAAGTTAGTCAATACCAAACGGTTAACAGTAACACTGATGGGAGTGGCACTGTTGTTTGGCTTTCTGCGATACCCGCGACTGTGGTCATCATCAATTAGTAGTTGATACGGAGAGTGCAATACTGCATTTTCATGATACCAGGTCAGTCGAGGTCGCGGCCACCCTGCAAAAAAAAAAAAAAAAAATGAATAAAATGAATTAGTATAATTTAAGCCGTTTTAATCTGTATAATAAATAATTTCGTAAAAGTATTTTTCATTAATTAAAACTACACTTGGCTATAATTATAATCATTTAATTATCTATAGTTGTAATCAAAAATTAAAACTATGTAATTCCTTTGTATCGTGTTATACTCTTAAAATAATAGCAGACATAATACGATAATTTATAATAACCATAAATCTCATTAAACGTATAAATATTTTAAAAAGTTATAAAACTTCATTCTACGTTTTAAAATCTGAATAGTTACCTAAAATTTAAAATATAAAAAAAACTAATGATTTTCAGATTACATAATAAACTTAGAATGTGTCCAAGAACAAAAGTTCTATTAAATTGTAAAACTTTAGTAAATTGTGTTAAAAAATAATAGAAAAACTTTCAAAAAGGAAATAATTGTATTTAATTTATATTTTATTAAATATTAAAACGTATAATATTAATATATTAAGAGCGGTTACATTATGATTGATAAATTGTCTATAAACAATCTAGGTAGTTTATACTTACTTATATTATAAGCAGTGGTGTATTTACGGGGGGGGGGGGGTTCCCGGGTCTCGACCCCCCCAGAAAAAAATAATTAAAAAAATCATAAATAGCTTGCTATGTGGTAACGAGAAAAATAATATTAATTTATATTATGTGTTTTTAATGTTTGTATTACAATATTCTTAAAAATAACTTTTGGTTATTTTTTTTATCGCGTCGTCACCATCCGACGACGACAACGACGACGATAACGACGTAATATACCTATATATAATTATATTAGTATGCTGTCTATTATAATTTATAAACTATAGTAGACAGTCTGCGATTGTTTGGTATCTATGTCAGGTAAATTTAATGGCGTTCAAGCACATATTAAAGACACACACCCATTAGCAATTTATGTACACTGCTCAGCACATGTGTTAAACCTGGTAGTATCTAAATCATGTAGCGTGACACAAATAAGAGATTGTTTAGCAGCTTTAGGGAAAGTTCGCGATTTTTTTATTTTTCCGAAAAGAAAATCAATTCTTCGATTTCATATTGAAAATTCATCAGAAACGTCCACTAAAAAATCATTGAAAAGAAGCTGCGAAACTAGATGGATAGAACGATTTCACGCAATAAACGATTTTATGGAACTTTATGAATATGTTATTGAAGCATTGGATACAATTTCGGAATGGAACAATAATGATACTTCGAATAAAGCAAGACGTCTTAGAAGTTCTATTTTAGATATAGAGTTTGTGATATCATTATTCGTATTGAACAAAGGTTTTAGTATAGGTTTACCACTTTCAAAGTTCCTACAAAAATCAAATATCGATCTTAAATTGGCTGTACAGTTAGCAAATGATACAAAAAAAGAATTACAAGAACTTCGAACACACGCCGATGATGTTTTTAAAAAAATATTTGAAAAAGTAAAAGTAGTAGCCGAAAAATTCGATATTGAAATTAAAATTCCGAGATTAACAAAAAAACAAACTAATAGAAGCAATATACCATTAAATACTCCGGAACAATATTATCGAGCATCAATTTTAATTCCTTATCTTGACAAATTTATAACAGAGTTAGAAGAAAGGTTCACTGTTCATCGATCGATTTTATCAGGTTTCGATTCTCTATTTAGGGAAAATGGTCCCATTGAAGATATTATAACTCTTTCAAATAAATACATTGAAGATTTACAGAATGATGGAACTCAAAATGAAATTATTGAATCAGAGTATAAATTATCGCAGAGAAAACTCATGCAAGCAACGGAGAAACCAAATAATGCTTTAGAGGCTATGACTATGTGTAACCAGTCAATTTATCCGAATATATTTAAACTTCTCCAAATTTTAGTCACGCTTCTTGTTTCTTCTGCAACAAATGAAAGAACATTTTCAAACTTAAAAAGAATAAAAACATATCTAAAGAATTCTATGTCAGAGGTAAATTATTATGATAAGCTTAAAAAATATTCTTGTAACTTACAATAAATAAATTACTCTGTTTATTTTTTTATTTATAGGGACGATTGAACGGTTTAGCTATGCTATCAATAAATAAAAACTACTCAATAAAGCCTGAAGAAGTTATTGAAGAACTGGCGAAAAAAAAAGACGTTTACCTTTTTTACTATAAAAACTATTAAAACTATTAATTGACATTTATTTTCATAATAATAGTGAAATATAATATAATATAAATAATATCATTATTAAATCATAACCCGTATGTATTTTATTATAATGTTATAAACCTGTATTTAATATTAAGACCCCCACAAGAAAATTGAAAATACGCCACTGATTATAAGTACCTAATAAATAGCAAGATTATCTTATTGTAATTAATTTCAATGATGATCATTGGTGCAACTAGATGTAACTTAAAGTTCCAACTATAACTTGCACTAACAAAAAAATGTCATTGTCTAAAAAAAAATAAGCTAACATAGTAACATAATCTTATAGGTATATATTTTTTATTTTAGATATAATAGCAAAACATGAAAATTATGTAAGAAATAATTGTTTTAAGTGTTTGAATATAAATTTATTTCATTCATTTAAAAATGTTAACTAAGATAAAATTATATGCTAGGTTCTTACTTTTTAAATTTAATACTATAACATATAATTTAGTTAAAATAACCTTAAAAATTCCGCATTAAAAATTAATTTAGTCCTTTTATTTATATGCATTTGTTTTTAAATATTATAGTAACTAAAATATAGTACATTTTTATACTGAATATATACTATATTATAATAAATGTTTTGATCTTAATAGAATATGGTATGATTCAGTTTGTTTAACTTTGTAATATTTTAAAGTTAAACGTTTAAATTTAAATTTACCAAGTGGTATTACAGTTAGTTATTGGTTTTATGCTTTTTATTATGAATATTGTACCTAAAAAATTATTAATAAAATTATTGCAATAATAATTAAATAAACTTAGTTATACTTTTAGAATACAAATCGACAAAAATGACTAGATAATTCAGGTGAATTAAAAAAATATTTTACAATTTAACATAAATAATTACAAATTAGTAAACAATTTATCATATATATATCTTACTATTTAATTTAAAATTCTCGATTATTCAAACGAACAATATTGGTATACCAGCTATTTATTATTTTAACTTTATAAATATACTATACATTAAATGAGGGAAATAAATTTAAATATTTATGACACAAAACAAGCAGTATACAATTTTAATCAAAGGCTTATTTTTTAGTAAGTAAATCATTTAAGTATACCAAACGATTTTGTTTATTAAATAACCTATTATTTCAAAATCTAATAATGTTAAAAAAAATTTTTTACTTAGAATTTTTACTGTTTTGAACAACAATATACATTTTTTGTTTCATATTTTAAAGCACTATATTTTCGAAGTATTTCATTACATAAGAATTGAATTTCGGAGAGTGGTTATAACTTATAAGTAAAGACCGGATTTTGCATAAAATGCATGTTGTTATTTTCAACATCATATACATGCAGTCAATGAGTGTCCACAAATCATTACTTGATTGATTAAATATAAAAATTTTATACTGCATATTTTTGCATATTCTGACGTTAATGCATGATCTGCATATTTTTGCATATTTTAACAAAAACCGTACAAATATACAAATAAAAACATAGATTATAGGTACGTTTATATAATATTATAATATCAAATATTTTACGTCTCAAAGAATATCTCAAAGGCTCCGTATAAAATTCAATTATATAAAGAAATGTTGCCAATTACACATTTACCACCGCAGCCAATAATTATCCGTTGGGGTACTTGGCTAGAGTCAGCCTTTTTTTACGCAGATCATTTTGAAGAGTTCAAAAATGTGATTGAAAACTTAGAAGATAATACAAAATGCATTCAAAATTGTAAATCAATTTTTAATAAATTTAATGTAAAATATGATCTTGCTTACATTAAAGCAAATTTTTTATGTATCGTTGAAAGTATCAAAAAGCTTGAAACCTCTAATTTGTCCCTTGTAGACTCAATAAAAATTTTAGAACAAGTGGAAAACTCTGTTAATGAACTTCCTACTAGTGCAAATAGTACAATAATTAAAACAAAATGTAAAAACGTTTTGAATAAAAATAAAGGATTAATGGTTTTAAAAGAAATTTCAAAAATACTTCAAGGTGACAGTGCTAATTTCGACGATTTATCTGTTCCAAATTATTCGCTGGATATAATAGCAAATTTTAAATATGCTCCAATCACCAGTGTTGATGTCGAACGTAGTTTTTCATCATACAAGTACATTCTTACAGATCGCCGTCATAATTTCACGGAAATAAACATGGAACATACTTTGATAACTTATTGTTTTTCAAATTAATAATTTACTACCTTCAATAAAATTGTTTGTACTTTTTTCCTATTTATATCAGTATATCACCAATGTATCTACTATTTAATTTTAATAAAATATTTTTTACAATATATCAATGTTTAAAAATTAAATTACAATTTAACAAAAAATTAAATTTTTGTACTATATTATACATGTAACTTTTTGTTTATGAAAAATGTAATAAAATTAATAAATAATTATCACTGCAAAATTAAAATCTAATATAAAATTGAAATTTTATTTTGCATGTTTTGCATTTTTTCCTTGCATATTTTGACTTTTTTTAGTGCATGTTTGCATGCATATTTTACAATTTAAAATGCATATAAATCCGGTCTTTACTTATAAGTATTTAAGTTTTAACTATTAGATAAACATTTTTCGGGGTATTCCGTACCTCTCCACTCCACTCATTTATACTTTGAATACTTACAACTTATAGACTACTCGTCCAAATTGTAATTTTTATGTATCTAAATACTCTAAAAAATATTATAATATATAAATGTATGTTGTCATTCAAAAAAGTAAAACACTTAAAAAATTAGTAAC